CACGGATTATCAACTCATGGTTTCGTTAACATTAGTATCAAAGAGTTATATCTGTAGTAAAAGATTTCATTTACAATGCGGCAACGCGCGGATTGGTTTCCTAGTATTATACAAAACCATGATGCAAATCATTGCATAACGATGTTGTCTAACGATGTTAACGAACATATTGGATAATGATCACGCGTTGCTTATGGTACCATGAAAATTAGGGTTATACACTTATATTCATATTATTGTTCTCCCTTATCTCTATTTTATATAAACAATCTCTCTCAATTAGTAATAATTAATTAGTCTCATTTATCCATAAACATAGTCACCAACGTTAATAAACCAAGTTTAAAAAAAAAAACGTTAATAAACCACGTAAATGTGTGTTCGTAGTTACGTTTTTATTCATTTTCTCACCTTCCTTCACAAAATAAATTAAACTTTTATTTGATGCCGTGAAATATACGTGGTGAGTTGAAAAAGAAAGATACGTGCCGAAAATAGTTACCCGACCCAACCCTAACTGGTATTTGAAAAACAATACTTTTATCCGACCCTAAAAAAAAAGTATCCTATTCAATGGATACCAGGCTAAAATTCGTTGATCCGCCATATATCCGGTCATTACCCTTACCCGCCAAATTGTAATATAATTTATCTATAATCAAACTTAAGTAACTTGTATACCAAACAAATGGAGGTGTTATTACGAAATGGAAAAAAAAATCTCTTAATAGACAACACATAGTTCATAAAATATAATATTACAAACTTCAATCACGTGGGTGTACAGCTCGGAGATATTCTCGTTGAGACTTAGGGCTCAAGGAGCGAGCATAGGGGTTGCGGTTAACAGGATCATGAACGCGACAGTTTCGATGAGTTTTATGTCGATAACTAATGCGATCTATGCGTTCTTTATGTTCGTAGGATTGGCGGTGGCTGCATGGTGGTTCTTCTTCTTTATGTTGCCGGAGACTAAAGGATTGCCATTGGAGGAGACAGAGAAGCTTTTTGGTGGTGGAGATGCTTGTGGTGATCGCAACGGACTAGAGATCCAAACTTAGAAAATCAATAAATCAATAATTATATTTGATTATCATTGTTAATTATAGAGTGATTTGGCTTATACATTTTTGTCAACGTGATTTGGCATATACTTTATATACGGTGTGATTTTGTAAGCAAGTGAATCATTGAATAAATCTGCTTAATTTACTTCCGAAATTTTGAATGCGATATATGTTTGTGATTT